TCCTCACTATCTTGGGCTATGTTCCGATTCCTCACCCGAGTATACTTTATCTTTATCACTCACTAGACATAAAACAAAGATAAAATGACACTCGGTTGCACTCGGGTGGAGAATCGGAACACAACCTTGTGTGGCGTGCTCTCAGTCTCTCCTTTCTCTTCTTTCTTCCTCCAGATTTCCTGTCCTCTCGTTCCATCTATACCACTTCTCCTTCAAACTAATTTTCATGTAGCCCACCTTTACTTTATCATCTCCTTTTTCTCTTTCCTCCCTCGCCATTTTTCTTAATTTTTGCTGTATTTCTCTTTCTTTTCTTGTTAGATCATCTTCTATTACATCTTTTTCCAACTCTTTCTTCTTGCGCATAATTTTCCTTTTTTGCTCCCAATTGTCTAGCTCTACAACCAGTATGTTTTTACTATCGTTTATTCTTATTTTGCTTACCTTTTTCACTTCTACATCCACTTTCAGCCTCTCTCTTATGAATTCCTTCGTTTCCTGATCCAGCCTTTCCGCCTCTCTCTCTCCACTTCACTCCTTTTATAACTATATTGTTCTTCCTTTCTCTTCTCTCCCTTTTTTCATTCATCTCCTCCAGCTTTGTTATTCTTTCTGCTGCTTTCTTCCTGTTTTTTCCCGCTTCTTTCCGACTCCTAACCTATCCTATCTTCTTTCTCCTACCTCGGCCTTAGTCCTTGTTCTCCTTTATATGTCCTTTCACCTTCTATTCCTCGTCTTTTTTTATCCTTCCTTTTTCTTCTCGTCACTCTTTCCTCTGTACTACGTTCTTTCTTTTGCCAATTTTCTACTTTTTACTACTAGCTACTTGCTTTCACGCACATGCACACTTCTCGCTAGCTCTACCGGAAGTGCCAATTTTCTTTTAAATTAAAAGCACATGAAAGTATACTGCATCAAATGCAAGTTGGTCCAGGAACTATATGTGATATTTTTTCAATTGACAAGTATGACTTAATTAAAGATATGCTATCAACATTAAAAAATAAAGTGTTTTACTACTAATTGGGTGGAATACAAAGGAACACGATATTAGGTTGAAATGATTGTGATAATTAGATTATAATAGTATTATAGGTCCTATTTTTGGAGAAATCGTAAATCTAATTGTTCACAATAATAGACTATTATTTTTATGTTCTATATATATGAAACTTTAGAGTATAATATTCATATTCATGGATATGAAATTTCTAAAACTTCTAACACTTTTATAAGAACAGTCACTGAACTATAATATGGAACGAATCTTGCCATTGTGCGAGCTGTCCGCGTTAGAGAGCATCACAACTAGGATTTCTGTCTTTGTCTCGTCGTCGCTGATTGGTTGAATTTATACGAGTACAGTCTAAAACAAAAGAACAACGAAAAGTAAAGAATGACTGCATTTAGCAGAAATCAGCGCTCAGCTATTGCTGTAATACCTCATAATTACGTTATTTCGATTTTGGGAGACGTATTTTTTCTTCTCGAAGATTTTAAAAATATTCCCGTTAACAATATACAGGGAATTTCTGTCATTACAGACAACAAATAAGCGAAAAGGTAACTAATTGTCAAGTATCCGAAAGACATGATAATCTAAAAATAAAATATGATAAATATTTTATCAAAAACTTCTGAAGATATTTTAAGTATTTCTATATTCTTACAAAAGGTGCAATGTCCAAGTGTAAAGAAGTCTCGCTGTTTAGACGAACTGTATATATGATAAAAGGATGTAAAAGATAGGCACAATATGTGAGTTTGCTCAAAGGAATCCAAACTCTGAANGATAATAACTTATTAACTATACCTGTAATAAATAAATAGATGAATGAGTAGTTATTTTGCTTAGCTACTTAGCGTACANAAACACACACAGATATTGTTTAGTTAAAATTAAGCTAAAAGATGTCGTTTAGTTTATAATTTATGCTGAATAAGAAACATATGTAAAAACTCAAGCTATTTATTATCAAATAAAAACCAACCTCCGTTTCTGGTAAGACACGCTATTAAGATCCAGGCTATTCCTATGGCCCACACTGTTCTACTAAGTGCCACATACGTAGCACTAGACAAAACAGATATATATCGTTTATACAACCCGAATAAAACCAGTATGTTGCAAGTAATTGCAACGCCCCAATATAAAATTACTGTTTTCTGAAATTTGCATTAGATTACAAATAAATAAATATATAGATATAGTAACAAATATGTATATAAATATATACATATATTAATATATGTATATAAATATATACACATATTAAATATATACATATATTAACAAATCTAGAAATAAAATACATAAAATACNANAAATATATGAAAATNAAATAAAAANAGTATTGATGTATGTACACTGGTTTGCTTTTTACAGCATTCAATTAAATATAGATAACAAATATTTTAACATAAAATATTTCTCTCAAACAAAAATTATAATATAAAAATAGTTCATAATTTTGATTTAATAAAAACAAGTTCATAATAATTTAAAAATTCTAATTAAAGATATTCATTAGTGATTTATATAAACTTTCATGCATTTAATTTTAACCTTTAGANGACCGCAATGGCCACTATAGTGGCCAAAGATAGGTAACTATTTAATGTGCATATAAAAATATATAAGAGGTGTATATGCATTGTGAGCGACAATATTTTTGTATTTTTGTTACTCCCGTTTCGGGTGGTGTACGAGAGCGTCGCACACACCTTCGGCACGTCCTTGGCTCACTCTAAAGAGTTTACGAACAAAATTGGGCGTGAAAATCACGCCGCACAAACACACGGCATAATATCACCAATTACCTCGGACGTGACGGTCATCTCTCGAAATACTAATTACTCGACAGCTCAGAATGTAAAACGGAGAGGCGGGGTTCGGGAGGCGGCTTGTGGGTGTATGGGAGAAAGAAACTCAGCTCAGTAACGATAACGTGACAAATTAACAAAGTGTAGTATATTTAGACAATGGACAAAGGTATGGCAGTGCTTCGCCGATTTACACGGGCGTTAATAACGAGTCGAAGTAGCCAGAGCCGATCGACAATACGCGGCGGCACACGACGCTGATTAACGGCGATTCGAATAAGATATCGGTGACCGTAATAATAGAACAGGATCTTAGCGAAAAGTATTATTTCTAGGCGGCAAGCCGCGACACACAACGGTAACGAAAGTTTACACAGCCGCTGACGCGCTCGCAGATGTAATGACAATAGGCACGGAATGCGCCAAAAAAAACGGTGGCTCGACTCGAGACTGTTCACGACAATGTACGCACGCACTCAATTACAACAAAGTCGAACGAACGGTACGATTAATCAAATGTTACATTACGCGACAAAGACGGAACAACAACAGGAATAATTACACGAAAGACTGCGGCGACCGTAGAAAAGAGAGAGAGAGAGCGATCTTTACTCTACTTATCAACACGACAAAATACACAGTTCTCCTCGCAGACCTGACATGTCCCGGTAACGCTCGCCACGATTACCTCCGCGTCGAATCCGCAGCACTAAACGAACGGAATTCGAGTCATCGGAGCGGTAGATCGATATCAAAAGCAACACGCGACACGCAGTTGCGGGGGTGAGGAACTTAATGGCACTTATCGGCGTCGACAGCTAGCCTCGGGTTTTACTTGGCAACTATATCGTCTCCTCCACCGGACAACACGGTCTCGGGTCCTCCTCGAGTAACTGGTGACCGATCCTTGCCTTCAAACGGCACTTTACCGCGACAGAGAGACTTTTCAGGAGGTTTCCCCGGTGGCTCACGCCTCAGCAACGGTACGCGCAACAGTGATCGCTAAACGCTACCGCATTGATTTCCTTTTGTATGGCAGATCGCGCAGTATGTTAAGCAGCCAATCAGGTGGCGCGCGCGTGGCGCGGTAATCGATCGTCACACGCGTGGATCCGCGTTGTCCTTCCAAGGGTGACTGTAGAGCTGCGCCGGGCCCTCACCGCCCGATTCATGCAGACGATTCCGCAGCTTTCTAAGGCTGATCCTCCACATCGGGTCGGCAGGTCGTACGCGCTCGTCGGATCCCGACAACGTCTTTAGTGTCCGGGTGGCATCTTCTCCGACCGCCCTTTTCTGAGACAACCGGTTGCTTCCCGCCACTCTGCTCTCCACGTCGTACGCTCCTGCCTAGCTGTCTTTCCATCGTCGTTCCTGGTTGACGCCGATGCCTTAGGTGTCTCTCTCTTGCCGCTAAAATAAAATACCACAGACACACAAAACGATACGCCGCCCTGCGGCTCACGCAACGCAATTAACATTAATTTAAAACGGCCGTTACACAATAATATACGCGAAACATTCGCTTGCGCCCGTCGGCGCACGGTACTCAAAATCGGTGCTGAGCGCACCGACAACGCGAGACCGGTGCATCTAAGTGCACCACGCAACGAAGGTAGGTCGCTCTCTCTAAACCATGAGAGACGCGAGCCTACCGTTCTCTTCTCTGGCCGTGTTAACTACACAGTGACGGGCGCCGAAAAGGCGTCACGTCACAGCATATATATTAATGTATCTGTGCTTGAGAAGCATGTATTTATATGTGTACTTGATNAAAGTTGACGGTGTCATTTGTGTTTATTACATCAAATTAGACGTCGAACTCGGTATGTACATATGCACTCGTAATACTGTATTATGTGCGTAACACCTTGTTTTGAAAATTTTTATATAAAAGAAACATTACTGTAAATTCCTATGCACAAAATATAAATTTATTTATAATTTTATTTTTTCATTTCAAAACAATAAATAGCAAAATACAAAAATATAAAAAAATAAAAAATGCAAAAATAAAACTATAAAAGAAAAAAAAATTAAAAACTAAAAATAACAAAACAAAAAAAGAGCTATATAACTTGTTACATACACGCCGTTAGTTCTGAAGAAAAGTTAACGCTGAAGGAAAATTTTATATATAAATGTAATAGCTGTTACTTATTCAGACTCATTTAGGTTGACAACATTGTTTTTATGTAAAATTTTGATAATCTGACATTAGAATCGTAATTAACAATNTCAAAGACTCTTAGAACCACTAAAATTCAAATTTTAAAAACTTTCAACATTAGCCATACCGTTAAAGACGCTCTGGCCATTATAACGGCCAGCAACAAAGTTCGGAAACTTTGCGCTACATATAGGTTCTATATATGCATACATTTTTCGTTAAAAAAAGTCAACATTTTAAAG